TCTTTCAACTCTATGATTCTATGATTCTATGATTCTATGATTCTATCCTCTGAGACTGAGATAATGTGACTTGCTCAAGATCACCCAGCAGGTTTCCATGCCCAAGCTGGCATTCGAACCATGGCCTGCAAAGTCATAGTCCAACACTCAAACCACTACACCACACTGGCTACTTCCTGACTTTCTCCCACAAAACAAGTACTCCAAGTGGCTATGAGGTTTAAGCAGCCTTAAATCTCATGGATAAATCATTGGGAAAGTGAAGCTGGACTTAATCATCTTAATCATTAAAGCATCAGAAAGAGGTAGCAGCATATCTATGAAGATGAAATAGTGCATGCTTCCTACATACATGCGTACCAATAAACAGAAAAAGTTTTTCTCCCTTTTTTTATAGGCCTCTAATTTATTATTACATTTTTTACACAAGACCATGGAAATACTTTTCTGGCATAAAGGGAGTTCAAATATAACCCCCCCTCGCATATGCACATACATTATAGGGAATATCAGGAAACTCCAGATAAAGGTATGAAAGAATTTTGCCTGAAAACCTGGAAATTGGTTGCTGAGAATCTGAGCATTGGGCACAGCAGACTAATGGCTTGACTCAGTATAAAGATAGCTTCCTATGTTCAACTCCACATAGCAACATGGGAAGCTGCCAAAAATAATGACCACAGATGATTTGCGTAACTTTAAAGCAGATGATGAAGGCATTGAAATAGTTCAAGATTTGCCATACCATTGCCAAGTCGACTTGATGGCAGTTAACAACAATAACAAATGTTTAACTCCATCATTGCATCTCACATTGCCAGGCAGGACTGTAGCATCTGAAATATTATATGGATGATTTGGTGAAGGCAGGGAGGATGAAGAGAAAGTGAGGAAAAGGTTGTAGAAAGCCACAACATGTAAAGGAAAATTAGCTTTTAAACTCAGGCTAATCCTATTTGTTTACTCCAATTTCATATTTGGAGGTTATAATTTTGCATGACTTGTTGAGGAGTCATATCAGTTAGAATCTGGTATCACAATTGTTCACTGTCAGTGAAATACAGCTTAAAGTCAAAAGATTTGACCATCTAATGACAATTTAAATATGTTATAAAATTTGAATCTCCACAATGCTGGTTGAGATTCATTCAGACAAACAAAGGTAACAAAGGTCTTTTGTGCATTTGTCACTCATTTCCACTTCTCTGCTGTTGTGGTGTCAAATAATGTCAGTGATTTCAGGGCAATTACTGTAATTTTAAACTCTCAACAAATTAAATGATAAAGACTAGTTGTCCAAGGAGGACACTACCCTGTTTTCCTCTCCCTACTTTACAAGTAAATTTTAATTGATGGAGAGTGAATTTCATCCTGGCTGATTAAAAAATAGACCTGTTTCACTACTAACAAATTTGGTTTCTTACAAATAAAAGCTGTTCCTTGTAGGTATTTTAAATTACTTTCCCTGTCTTTGGAGATGCAATGAAGATTTTAAAGATATATGTGTGGGGGAGTGGGGGAGGTTAGTCCAAAAGTGTCAGTGTCAGCAAACAGCATTTGAATTACTTTAGTCACATACCGAGTCCAGTGGAATTTAGTTCCACATTACTATGCTAGCATTACAACCAAAGGAAAGAGGGAGATTTATGAACTCCTTGACTTCTGCTGTGAAAGGAGACAAAGGGAGTGACTTTGTGTGAAGGCTGCAAAACCCACTTTTGAAATCCTTGTATATTCTACCACATTTGTTGTGTTACATTAGGGTTGCCACTTCTTCTTTTTCTGGCAGGCTCCTTAGCTTTAACACTAGGTGGCAGCCAGGTAGAACAGCCCAGTCCAGATGAGTCAGAATTGCATTCAGTTTTGTGTTGCTTTTTAAAATAAGAACTTAACAAACTTAAAAAAATATATTCATAACTTGGGGTGTAAAGAATATAAAAATGTGAGAGTGAGAAAAGGCAATGCTGGCAGATTTCTCGCTATTTAACAAACAGCATGGAAAAGTTGCTTTTCGGACAAGTGTTCAGCATCCTCCACTCAGACATGATCACCATGGCCAGCGGCCATATTCATGCTGGATGGGGGATTCTGGGAGTTGTAAACCCCCCTCAATAACTGACAAATTTTTCTATCATCACAGTATAAAGTAAGGTGCTGGGGTTCATTCACTATAAGTATAGTGGCATATTGGTTTGGGTTGTGGACTAGGATGCTGGAGACTAGGGTTCAATTCCCAGCATGGCTATGAAACCCACTGTGTGGCCTTGGGCAAGTCACAGTCTCTCAGCCTCAGTGATAAGCTTCCTCTGAGCAGATTGTGCCAAGAAAACCCCATGATAGGTTCACCTTAGAGTTGCTATAAGTCAGAAATGATTTGAAGGCACACAACAAACAGCAAATAAATCTACACTCACAAAGGTACAAGGTGGTTGTATTTTACCATTCTTCTGCTGAATACTGCCATTGTACAACTGCCAATGTGCCTGTGTAGTGCCCCACTGTGCAATGGGAAATCCAAAGTAGCCATTCTATTGCAATCCAATTGAACCAAGTGGTACATAAAAGGCACTGGTAAATAATTACACACCATCCAAGAATACGCAACTGCGTGGCTAGAATCCTATTAGTTAGTCCTAACCAGACTAGACCTATTCAATCAATTGTTGGAGGAGGAGTCAATATATAGGTAAAATCTAATTAATTAAATGGCCCCATACTGTTGGAACTGACTATAGGATTAAGCTCATGTGAAATGGTTACATCTTGTGCAGCTGTACTTATACAGACATGAATTGAATATGTCTGTTCCCAGTGACCAAAAAAAGTACAATCACAAGGGTTAAAAACTTAGATAGTGCATAGCACCAATAGTATTCTGTAAAATTTTAAAATCTGCTGTTGTACTTTTCCCATGCAAGGGAGATTATATAATATAATTTAAGGCTTCTTTCATACAACAGATTCTGGGAATTGGGTAGGAGTAGCCATGTTTAGAAAAAGAGGAAGAATCTGCTCTTTCCAAGCAGCCCCTCTGCCCCCAAATGCTGTACTTGCTTCACATATTTGAGCTTTTATCTGTTTATGCCAGGGTAGCTATGGTGGCATAGTGTGTATCAACAACATTCTGTCTCATCTTCTCCCTAATTATCATCTCAGCCAAAATTTATACTAATCTTCTCTTAATAAATTAGAGGACTAGACAGAATGTAATTCTCTTCTAATACAGGAACAGTCTGGTTTCAGACAAGGAAGATCAGTTATCGGTAGCTGCTTTATCTTGTCCCATTTGATATCAAAATATTCAACAACTGGACACAGTTCTATACTGCCTTCATTGATGCAAGTGCTTCATTTGATTCTATAAATAGAGGTTTGCTATGGGCAAAATTGGCTAAAACAAATATTGATCAGAGGCTTCTTTTTCTTATAAAGGTGATATATACTGACACTCAGTTAAGAATCAGAACAGGAAGTGAGTCACACATAACTAATGAAATTCCCACTGGCAAAGGGGTCTACCAAGGTTGTATCTGTGTTCTATTTCTTTTAAACATTTGTATTAAGTATTTAGTTTCTACAGTTACTGGGCAAGCGTTTTACATGCCAAAGGTATTTAATACTTCAGTGAATACCCTTTATATACAGATGATATGATATTATTGTCTACTAAACAGGTTGGTTTGCATAGGTTACTAAGGAAATTTAGCTCATACTGTAGGAAAAATAATTTAGAATATCTTCTGCTTGTGCCAGGTCATGATACACTCACTGATCCATGTATACACAGAGGCAGCTCTGTTCACTTGACTGAATAGGCCAGTGCTACAAACACATCCCTTATTTCTGATGCAGGACATTTGAAACCACTGGGTCTTTGATTTCCAGGTAAATATGATGCTTATGTGTTGAAAAAGGCATGGATAGGATGGTTATTCACTTAATGTGTTTTGACAGTCCTAACACCATTACATTCTGGTGCTTTTTTAAAAACATGAAACACTGTTACTCTTATGAAGGAGAGGATAGAGTGAAGAATTTTACAATCTTATTCATTACATCTCTGTAGAAGCTTTTAAAAAACAAAACATTGGCTTCAAAGTGAGCCCACCGTTTCACCACAAAATTTCATTATGTTCCAACTGAGTTCTGTCTAATGGAATTAAATTTCACCCTTTCTAATTATCTTTTAGAGCAGACAATCTTTACAGAATCATTAGTAACAGAAGTACACAATGGATCATTGTCTTTACTATAACAAAAGAAATCCTAGAAGCAGCACTAAATCTGAAGGAAAGATCACACAAAATACAAAATATCTTTGCTCACTTCTCCTAAATTATGTAACATTCTGTAGAGTCAGTATAATTTAAACACAATGGTTGTAATTTAACTTCTTGAAAATGGTCAACTTTAAGTTTCTTTTAAAAATAATATCTATAATTCTCCTCTAATTAATCAAGTCTATAGATAAATAATCTTTTTGTCTTCAAATTAATTTCCCACATATCGAATACTACAGACAAATGCTGTTATAAAAGATTCTTTTTTTTTTAAGTGGCCTATTTCTTTTCATCTAACTTCCCATCCCTCCCCAAAAGACACAGAAACATAGATAAATATACTATGAGGATTCTTAGTGCTTGATTGTTTTAGCACGTCTCATTCCATCTCTGATAAAAGAAATGTAACAAACTTGTAACCTTCACCTGCCTCAGTTAATAAATGCAGCAGAATCTGTAGTCCTGGGACCTAATTAAACTATAATGCCTTCAAAATAGGCAATTATGCCTGCAAATGAGTTGTAGCTCTGGCAATAAATAAGTTACTGGTGAAAATACAATGGTGTAGATTCTGTGTCATTAGCTAAGATGCATAAATTTACAATGATGGAGCTATGTTGCTAACATGACAAGCAACAATGTTAGAGAATTGCACCAGTGAGCAACAGGGGTTCTTGTCACACATCATGTTACTGTTAAAGGTGGAGGCATATTTTCTGCCTGGGCACAGGACACCCATGACTGTCCATTGCCCTCCATTCTTAATTACCAGTGTCCTATGGATCTATTGGGGACTATTCCCCCTTTCCTTGTGTTGTCTTTTTTAAAATAAATAAATAAATAAATAAATAATGATTCCACATAGACTAAAAATCAAATGCATCACACAGTACACACACATTCAACTAAATCAAACTACAAATAAAGAAACTAGATATAAAAAAAACAATACAAACTATTGTTGTTGTGTGCCTTCATTTCTGACCTATGGCAAACCTATTATTTTGTGTGTGCAAGATTTGTTCAGAGGAGGTTTGACATTGCCTTCCCCTGAGGCTGAGAGAATGTGACTTGCCCAAGGCCACCCAGTGGATTCATGGCTGAGTGAGGAATCAGACCCTTGTCTCCAGAATCATAGTCTAACACTCAAACCACCACACCATTCTGGCTCTCCTAGAATACAAACTATACTACAACAATATATACTTAATAAAGAATAAAAAAATGACTTCCAACTATCTTTTCTGTGATTATATGGTAATTCTTAAACTTGTGGCTCCCCCTTTATAATCTAAAATGTTTCACTTCATCTATCAATTTAACTCATATTGATTATAAAAACTAATATTAATTTTATCAACTTCATTCTTTCTCAAAAATTATATTACAGGTTCCAATCTTTAAAAAAAGTTACCAATAACTTTTCTCCAATCAAAATTTATAATTTATCAATCTCTGCTAACTCATTCATATTTAACAATGATTCTTTTATAGGTAATGCATTACTCTTCATTTCTAAGCATATAATAATTTTGCTGCTGTGGTCATATATTGTAGTATTCTTCCATAATTACTTTCCAGTTGTTTATCCATCAGACCCAGAAGAAAAAGTTCAGATTTTAATTGTATATTAGTCTTTAATATTCTCCATATCAATGTATGAATTTGCACTCATTATCTTTTAACTCTTTTACAAGTGATAAAATGTCCCTTCTTGTTTTCCACAATTCCAGCAAACTTTTGAAGTTCTCTTGTATATCTTAGACAATTTCTCAGCAGTCATATACCACTGATACATTATTTCATAAAAATTCTCTTTAAGATCATACCATAAAATAAATTTCAACCCCTTTGACCCACATCTTTTTCCATTGTTCCATTTATAAAATGTACCCAAAATTCTTAACCTATTTTATTACACAATCCTTCACCTATTCATCTTCCATGTCAAATTTCAACAGGAGTTTGTATTTTACCAATCTTCATTTGACCATTTGAATTTGAACTCAGATTGACATTGTTCAAAACCATAATTTTTAACCCACTTTAAATCTTTCAAGTAACTGCAAATGTGAAAACCATTTAAAACTTTAACTCTGTCAAAAATTGTTCTCTTGTTTTCATAATATATTCCCTTTAGCAGTTATCCAACAGTTCCTGATACCCCCACCATTTTCCATTGCCTATTGCTTCTTTTCTATAAAAAGGTTCCTATGCTGAGACCCATAGAGGTATTTTCTGACATAAACTGGGTTTGTTTTTATTCTATATTCTAAGTAAGGAACATCTCACATAGTCATTATTAAAATCTATATTCACTTTCACCTTATTGTACCATATATATCCATGCCATCCAAACTTCTGGTTATGACCTTCTAGTTCCAGAGGTCTTTTATTTCTCAGCACTATCAATTATTTTAACCACATTAAACAACAGGCAATAAAATATAATTTCATGTTAGGTAAACCCAAACCTCCTCTTTATTTCACATCTTATAATCTTTTAAGTTTCACTCTTGGCTTTTTCTCTTGCTGACCCTTTCCTTGTATTTTCATTGAGCAAGGGAAGTCTGTCCCACAGAGTACCATACTGTTGCACCTTGCAGCCATTGTGAAATAGCCACACTGCTTGATCAGCTTCTGCAATGATTCTGATGAAGCAGCTATGACAGTACTCCCCTCCTGGGAATATAACTGTTGCACAATGCCATAGTTAGCAATAGCAGCTTCATTTATATACCACTTCATACCCAGTTCTCAACTGTGCAAACATAAGTTGATTTATCATATGATACATTCTCCATAGGATGCTTGCTATTATTGGCAATTCTTTTTTTAAATAAAAATGGAAAGGAATCTAGCTGAAGAACCTCTACACCTCTTTGTCAGTGATTTGGTAGTCATAGCTTGCTTTTTATCATTCTGTTTTATCCCATTCTGACAAAATAAACCACTATGTTGCTGTTTTATTCCCCCCCCCATGGGAGTCCCAAACATCCAGATTTCCTGAATCTGAACCTTGATTTGGGACGAAGGTTGGAGCAGATTGCCCCCCCATCACTCCAAGATAAACTGGGCAAGATGCCATAGTGCCAAAACAAGGATTCCAATGCTGAATGCTGTGCCCAGTCCGCAAGCCTGCTGGTTAGGTATCCTAATTTATAAAGGACAATCTTCTATCTGAAGGTGTTTAAAGGTCTGCCTGGTCCAAATCTGACTCACAGATAAGAAATGTAAGATGGGGGAGCTGGAGCTTTGAACCTACCCATTTGCTTTTAGGATTTGGGTCACATAATAAGCGGAAATATGGATCATCTGATCAGATTCCTCACTAGGTTGAGACACATTGTAATTTATATAATAGTAATATTTTAATATTTTCAACTTTACCTATATATTCATATATGCAAATACTATGGAAATCAACATGCTAATGGGCAAGGAAAATACTCAATTTCTCTTCCAACTCTCCCAGTGTATAAGTGGTCATGCCCTCATCATTCCTGCAGTATAGTCTAGGCTGCATCTGCACGGCAGAAATAATTCAGTTTGACACCACTTTAATCCTAAGGTATTCTGGGAACTGGCTCAATGCTATGTAATTATGGGAACTGTAGTTTGTTGTGGTACTAGAGCAGAGCTCTAGTGCCACAACAAACTATAACTTACAGAATTCCATAGCAATGAGCCATGGCAGTTAAAGTGGTATCAAACCAGATTATACAGTCAGTCGCACCAGTGTAGCACAATTGGGATGTGCTCCCACAGAATTCCATGAAATGCAGCTCTTTCAGCTCACAAAATCACTACTCAGTGAAACAATGAATGAACTATATGGAGGCCAATCATGAATGCCAGTGTGGAAAGCAACCCACTTATCTGGAGTCATTGGCCAAGAACCTACTTCTAGCAAGAGGAGTGTAATGCCCACCCACAGGTTTCCTTTCCTTTCCTGTGGCATCAATCATACCCCAGCTGCTGCTATTGCTGCTCACTGATGGAGACAGTTTAGATGATGAAGAAACCATTGGTCTCAGTTCAGAGGGGAGAAGAAAAATGGGTGAACTCACAGAGTTCATCCTCCTTTTCCTTCCCCTGGGAGCCCAGAGCAACAGCATTTTATGGTTTGAATTGCCTCCCCATTTTCTCTCCTTCCTGTCAGGAGTCAGCAGCAGCACAAAGCAACAACAACTCTCAGGGCTTCAAAATGAATGGACAAGTTTTGGATAGTGTAGAAAGAACCACAAAAGTTCCTTCCCCACCCCCATCTAAAACAAACCATACATACACATAAGCCGCACTTATACATGTGGATGTTACTAACTGGATGCCACCCATTATGTCATAGTGAGTCCGCATGGCACAATGGTTTGAACATCAGATTACAGTTCTGGAGACCAGGGTTGGAATCCCCATTTGGCCATGGAAACCTACTGGATGATCCTGAGTAAATCACACACTCTCATCCTCTGAAAACTTTTCAGTAGGATTTCCTCAGGGTTTCCATAAGTTGGAAACTACTTGAAAGTATACAACAACTGTCAGCAGAATCAAGGCCTCCAAGGGTCAAATTAGATGTGACACCATTCATGCAATTGCCACTTCCATTATATTTTTTTAAAGTGAGTAAATAACTGATATGGATTATCTGATTCAGATCTAGAGCTTGTAGGAATGTGTGCTATGCTTATGCATTAGAGAAGTTTAGCCCATTGCTTTCTGCTATGGTTCTGAATCTCATTTGAGCCCTCTACACCTGCTATTTGCATTGGAGCAAACCTCTTTTATTCTGCTTGTGGCACCTCCATAACCTACAGACATGAGTCATAGGTGCAATGCATAGTCCTGACTTGCTGTCAGAGTATGATTTCACGGTGGCTTTTGAAATGATTGGAACCTGCACAATTGGCAGTGTTTCAGACGAATGAATCTCTGGGCATTTATGGCCAATAGTAGCCCTTGAAGATAAGTCAACCATACTAGCCAAAGTACAGCAATAGGTCAGGAACATTTTGACTCCAGAAACAAAAAGTACAGTGGGCCCTGGTATCCTCTGGAGTTTGGTTCCAGTATTCCGTGGATACCAAAACATGTGAATGCTCATTTCATATTAAATATAATGGCATAGTAAAATTGTGTCCCTTGTATAAAATGGCAAAATAACAGTTTGATTTCTGGAATTTATGGTGGTGTTTGTTTTTTTTTAATTAAGTTGTGGATGGTTGAATCAGTGGATAAAGAATCTATGTATACAGAGGGCTGACTGTAATTTCCAGAGTGGTCTTGCAGGTGGCAATTGCTCATGGGAACAGCTTGGTAATCTGCTGTTGTTGATTGCAGTGCTATAAAATGTTAACTAAAGAAAAGTGAAAAAACCCAAAGGTTAAGCTAAGAAAACATCTTTGTGTCATGGGTGGCCACGCTACAGCATTGGCTAAGTAATTCACATCCTACAAGTTATAAAGAGAAAACAGTAAGACTTCCAAGGCAGTGTGGTTGCTTATGAGTTCTGGATTCTCCCTCTCTACTCCATTTAAGGCTTAGGAACAAAAAGCAGACAGATCTATAGAAAACCTCCACATGTTAGTGTATATGTATAGAGGTAAATTTAGAAACCAATTCTATTTGATTAAAGATAGAGTACATCTCACCATAATGGGGAAGGCTGAGCCTAAGTGACCAAAATATCTGATTTGTTTGCTGTTAAGATGCTGACTTGTAATGGGAAGGCTCAGTTAAAGCATACTCTCCAACATTTCACAGGTGGAAACCAGGATGCATGTGGTCAAGCAACCTTGGAGTGTGATCATGATGGCAAAAGTTATTATTGAGGAAGGAGCTAGGAGAGGCTGCAGCAGTTGTTTTTTTGCCTGATCCTACTGGATATCAGGACTGTGCCTGTCAAACAGTTAATAATAAGATTCCATCCTCTCTTCTCCAACCTGCAGAGTTAATTGAGAGCAAACTACTTTTGCACTTCAAACTCAGTTTGAAGCAGTTGAAGTAAACTAAAGACAAGAGGGGGCAGACAATTTCGTGTAGTGGTTTGAGTGTTGGACTATGACTCTGGAGACCGGGGTTCAATTCCCCACTTGGCCATGAAAACCACTGGGTGACCTTGGGCAAGTCATACACTCTCAGCCTCAGAGGAAGGCAATGGCAAGCCACTGAGCAAATCTTGCTAAGATAGCCTCATGATGGGGTTCCTTCTGGGTTGCCATAATTCGGAAGCGACTTGAAGGCACACAACACACATGGGCAAAGGCAGGGAAATAGAAGAGGAAAGAGGAATGTTAAAAGTAGCTGAAAAAGCAGGATGACAGAGGATATCAGGACTGTGCCTGTCAAACAGTTAATAATAATAATAATTTATATCCCACCCCTCTGTAAGCAATCGGGGCGACTTACAACATTAAAATTAAGCAAATTTTGCAATACAATGCAATAAAATCACTATCTACAATTTCAGACCCACCCACTCCTTAAAACTATAGTAAACAAAAGCAAGTTAAAACATTTTTAAAAATAAATCACGTAGGTGCAAGTAAACTAACAACAAGCAGCAGCACAGCAACTGTAGCGAGGAGTAATAGATGGGAGGGTGGGCAGCTTCTATGACCAGGAAATCTGATCTGGAAAGGCCTGCTGGAAGAGATCCGCCTTGACAGCTCTTTTAAAGCTGTTTAAGGTTGTAATATGATGGATCTTGTCCAGCAGGCTGTTCCATAAGTTGGGAGTGCTTGATGAAAAGGCCCTCTGGGAGGTTGCGGACAGTTTGAGGGTATGTTAAGGTAACTGGAGCTCCCAAACAGTTTCAAAACAGTGTTCTCTTTATGCTCATGTGCAAATTCTCCCTAGTAGAAGGCCAGATTAATAATACAACAACTCAAGCTTGGTAGTGCTTCCAGGCCTATAGGAGGTCCAGCTCTTTTTATGCCAGAGGGATAAGGTAGCTCTAGGCACTCCGCTTGTCTACATCCCAGCTGGTCTGCCTAAGGCCAGAGTCTCAGAGGCAGAGAACCACAATGCACCATCTGCCTCTCCTTCCCTTCCAGCTAGAAAAAGGGGCCAGGGTGGACAGGAACTGCTTCCAGCTCTCAGGGAGGGAGCTCCCCATGTCTGCAGAAGCATTTCTCTCTTGACAGCATCGTAGTGTGTGAGGATGTGTGTGTAGGCACAAGGGCAAGGCATTTCCACATTTGACTCCTTATGCACCACTGCTTGATGGGTTACTGCAAGGCCCCTATGCTCTTTTCTTATACCCAACCTCTGTCCCACTTTGGCAGGGACAGTCCCAGTTGATTTTCTGCTGTCCCTTTTCAACTGCCTTTAAAATGTCCCAGTTTCTCTCTTCTCCTCCCACTCTTCCCCTTTGTCCTTGGCTTACTTCAGTTGCTGCAAAATGAATTCAAAGTTGAAAAGTAGTTTGCATATGCCCTTCCCAGATGGCTCAGGCAAAAGCACACTGCTGCATCCTCTCCTCTTTGTGTGCTCTTCATCATTTACAACTTTTGCCATCCTATCCATGCTGTGAATTTGCTTGGATGCATGTGTCTGGGTCTTCATCTCTGAAATGTTGGTCTGTATGCTTTCTGATGATTCTTTATCTTTAAATTGTACTTGGACTAAGGACCATTCAAAGAAAAGATGCTTTCCAATGTAGTCTGTGGGACACACAACCATTCTGTTCCAAAGGAGAAAGTTAATCTTGTTTTGCTCTCCTTTTTAAAAAATGAGAAAAAAATGACTTAGCAGTCTTTGCTTTCTTCATGATCTACTTTTAAGAAAATGGCATGGAATATTACCAGAAGTTTGACATAGCACCTAAAATCAGTTGTAGAATTACAAAATTGCAAAGTTGGAAGAAAGAGCTCCAGTATGGTATAATGGTTTGAACACTGGACTATGACTATGAAGACCAGCGTTCAAATCCCTGCTCAGTCATGGAAACTCACTGCGTGAGCTTGGACAAGTCACACACTCTCAACCTCAGAAATAGGGAAACCCCTTCTGAACAAATCTTATCAAGAAACCCCTATGATGGGTTCACCTTAGAGTCTCCATAAGTTGGAAATGATTTGAAGGCACACAACAACAACAACAACAACAACAACAACAGAGGTTGGAAAAGAATACCAAGAGTCATCCAGTCCAAGTGCCTACAGATGCAGGAAGTCCACAGCTACAGCATCTTTGGTAGATGGCCATCAAGCCTCTGCTTTGAATCATGTTCACAATGGCTGCAAGGGCACTTTCATGTTTGATCACTTCCCAGCTATTCTTTGTTGTGTATGTGCCAGAGGTTATGCATTTATTTGGTTGTTTAGGCTGACACTTTACTGAATCATCCTACTGCTGTAATGCTTTGATCTTCGCTCCCCAAAAAGAACAAGGAAAAAAGTCCCTTACCAATTGAGTTATGTATTTTTTTAAAAATTATCAGATTTAAGCTTGTAAAACAGGCAATGCCTTGCTTAATACATTTTGTTAACATGCCCAATTGCCACAAGATTTTCCCACTCTCTTCCTGGGTCTCTCTACTTTTTCTTTTTTTAAAAAAGCCTTCTTGAGAACCATTTGGAATCATCGTTCATGTCATTATTCTAAAGGCGAAAGAAGGTGCTTGGCAGCACAGTCCGTTCTCAGGGCTGCTGTTGTCTTCACCCGGCAAAGGTTTGTAGAATGACTCAGAGGTGAATCACAGGTTTCTGCAGGTGTACACTGGGGAGGGTTGGCCCATTTCCACTTCTCTGCGGTGGCAAATGTTTACTTCATTAGTTCACGGGGTTACCCAGCAGTCCTTGCCAAGTCTGTTTCTCAACATTAATGGATGCTTAGGAAAACAAAACAAGACAAGAAAGCCTAGGGCCCCATGGCTGTTCCAAAGGGCTTCACCGCTTTGAACATGTCATTTACTAATGAGAAAATTTTATATTCGCTTGAGCAATGGAACAGGGCAAGGTGAAATCTCACAGCCCCTGATTGTATCTCTTCTTTAACGTCCCCTTATAAGCTTGTTCCTCACTGTCATCTGCTATCTTTCTCTGACATTTGTCTTTCTGAGCAATACAACTTTTGTCATTCCGGCTGGATTCACTGCTTTGATCAAGAACATATTAAGCTGCTGTATAGTGAATGAGACCCTTGACTCATATAGTCCCATGCTGTCAAAAACTCAGGTCATATGGCTTGGACTATGACTCCCAGAATCCACCAGGAGATTTGCAAAGTTCTAGTCCAAAACATCAACTTTCTGAATCTCTGCTAAAATGAGTAGAAGCCTCCTATGACTTCAGGCCCAGCCCTCCTTTTTCAAATTCTTTAATAACTCTGAATTTTCTGCAATATCTTCCTCTATAGATTTGATAAGAAGCAGCCACTGAAGAAGGCTTGAATCTTACCAAATCTATTTGGTAAGGTATT